TGCCTCGAGAGTCCTTGCAAAATGATATTAATACGTAATGTATAGTACGGTTATTACGAACCAGAATAACGAGTCAACTTAAGTCGAATCCGCTGCTTTCGTTGAATGTCTGTTCTCGTGACAATCAAGATCAACTGAAGGTTCAAATCTTTTAAACGTTTTGATTTTTTTACCGCTTCGGCTTTGATCATGTTCGGCTTTGATCATGTTCGGCTTTGATCATGTTCGGCTTTGATCATGTTCCGCTTTTTCCACAAACAAAATTGAACTTACTTTAGGGACCAGATCCTGAGTAAGACTCGTCAAATGGCAGTTAGCGGCTGAAATAACATCTTTCTTTAACGTTGAAAGTGAACTACGCAATGAAAGAATTTACGAATTGGCATTTACAAAGAAATGCAAATTCTTAATGTTTGGACTTTGTTCGGGGATTCCCCCATTATGATGTCATAGCAATATGTTTTTCCCAAACACCTGAAACGTGCAAGTTGTCTTGTATAAAACAATCAGTTTTAAAACTTGTCCCAATTTATTGAGTTTTTAAGTTTTCGGACTCTTTGGATGGTAAACTTGTTACGTTTATGTCTAGATAATATGACAAGGATCAGCTTTAGAGTTGGCACTTTTGAAGGAAGAAGCATTGCTTTTTTTTGTGTATGAAGCACCAAATGTTAGACCGTAGGTATTAGTGAAAGACTTTATTGGTAGAGAAAGAAATATTATTATATTAAAATTCACATGGCAACCAGGTGGACAATCAGATATAGTTTGATGCTACACTGGTTTGCAGATTTAATGAATGTAACCGAAGAAGTTACAATTCATAGACCCAACGTTTCGACACTCCCGTCTAGTGCCTTCATCAGGGGTGATCTAAACGCTGCAACAAGAAGTCCTTTTATATGATCACTAGTTAGCAGCCTTTTTTCTGACGAGGTGTAAATAGGCGTCAGGAAGCAAACCGCCATCGTCAAGATTTAAAGGAGCGTGGGCGGAGTTAATATGCCAAGCCTCCAAACAAAGGCGCTGGTGGTAACGCCGATTAGTGGTGATAATTTTAGAATTATCACACCCAATTGTATGGTTGGTTAGGCAAGTATGCTCCGATAAAGCTGAATTTTCCTTTTTTTCAAAGAAAAACCGCTTTTTGGTGCTCTTTTAACCGTGTACCAAACTGGCGTTTGGTCTGTCCGATGTATTCGTTGTCACAGTCATTGCAAGGAATAGAATAAATGGCGTCGGTTCGTTGTTCTTTTGTGACAGGATCCTTAGGTTTGGCGAAAATATGCCCCAAAGTCTGAAAAGGTTTTTGAGCAACTTTAACGTTGTATTCAAAATTCTCTTGATGGGTTCAGTAACACCCTGTATGTAAAGAATAACACCAAAACCAGTCGCTGGTTCCCTTTCCTTTCTTTCCCCTCTGGACACATTTAAATCAAGAAAGGGCAAATGTCTATCCTTTTCACGCTCAAGGGTGAATTGGATCGACGGCTCTACTGAATTCAAATGCGACAAGAGGCGCTCCGCTTCATTTCCGGATACCACAGAAATAACATCATCGACATATCGTTTCCAGAAAAAGGGTTTTAAAAGGGTTTTTAAAAGGGTTCTTTAAAAGGGTTTTTAAAGGGTTTAAGGGTTAAACTTTGTAACTTCTTCGGTTACATTCATTAAATCTGCAAACCAGTGTAGCATCAAACTATGTCTGAAAGAAATATCAGCTCCTTTTTTGTGTATGAAGCACCAAATATTAGGCAGTAAGTATAAGTGAAGGATTTTATTGGTAAAGAAAGAAATACTAGTTTCTTTTTTGTGTATGAAGCACCAAATATTAGATAGTGAAGGACTTTATCGGTAAATCTAAACCCTGGGAATGAGAATAGAACCAAGATGGTTGGCGCAATTTTACTTTCCTCGCTTATATACATCCTTTCTCTTTGCATAAATGATATCTTCTTCACTTTCTCTCTGACTGATACTCACAATGCTTTTACAGAGTTCAACCGTGCACGGTCTGGGTACTACATTTTAAAAAAGTGAAAGGTTTTCTTTGCTTCCTTTGAGAAAGTAGTGCAACGGTTACGAATGATAGTAACAGGAAGGGAAGGAATCATGATATGATCCGGCTCTGGTTGGGGAACGGTATTGCTCGTATCAGTCTCCGAGGAAGTTCGAAGAAGTACATTCCATCGTCAGTTAAATACCTTACTCCAGGGAAAATATCCTGTCGTTCATCATTCCTTACGGTTAATTCAGTGTCTTGACTAAGCTCAACTCTTATTTGGATCTATAAGAGGGCGGCAGCGGTTTCTAACCCAATAATAATGCGTAGCAAAGCAAAACCGCAGACACTAGTTCAGCACGGTTTTTTCAAGAAAAGTGTGTCTTTTGGTGGCAAGTTAGTGCTAAAACCGGGGTTCTAAAAGAAACGTTTCGTCTTTGTTTGTTTTGGCCGCTGGTCTTCCTGTTCGCTGTCTATGTCGAACTCGTTCTCCAGTTCGTCTTCTTCCTCTCTTACAGTTCATTCTACTTGCCACACACTTCATCCTCGTTGCCTTCCAGAGGGTTAGATTTGCTGTACTGCTTGAAGGCGTTAACGACCAAATCCGCGGTTATCTCTTCCCATGCTTTGTGGATCCATCGCAAAACGTGGAAGTTTTTCGTCATAGACTTCAGAAATAGTTTGCCAATTGATGAAAATGGAAACTTTGACCCGGGTGTCCTCGGTGATTTATTTGTAGCTGTTCCAAGACACACAAATCCTTTACCTGACTGCTCTGACGATCTCCTGTGGCTTGGTTCTATTAATTACAGGACACCTAATCGGTATAAAAACACTGTGGAGTTCAGGGTTTTCCATCATTTGGGACGCTTTCATTACGGCATATGAAAACAATCAATCAGCAACCCCTGATTGTTGCTCAGGTACTCTACGAACTATTTATATAGATACATGTAACTTACAACTTAGGGAATATATCACATTGACGTTATCTTCTGCAGCGGTGGTTTAACATAGACTAATTAGGAATAAATGCTTAACTATACTCGCAGCTTTCAGCGAAGCGCTGGCTTTTAGCTATCGGAAGTATAGATGCACAAGTCATGCTTGTGCGCGTGACAGTATCTGGAATCTTTGAAATCTGTTCTACGCTCCTGTGGACTTGCTAAGGTTACAGTGATGTAATGATGTAAGAACTCGAGTTTCCATTCAGCTCTGTCAGACTTCTGCAAGGAAATAAAAGACAGAAATCAGATTATTTTTATCTGCGTTCTCTGTAGAGTTTCAGCGAATCATAAAATCGAAAGAATTTTCGCTTATGTAATCAATGCCTTTTGCCAACTATGTTAACTTGGCTGTAATGTAAGGCTATGTATCACCAAGCTAGCTGGGCTGCTCCTGTTTTTCAAATTTCTAATGCCTTTATTACTTATTTGCAGGCTAGCGGTAATTTCCCAGTCCTAAATTGCAAGGAAGTTGTATTTGCGGAAAATAGAGACGATCGGAAAATTCATCCTTCAGTCCAAAAGAAATAGTGACGTTGAAGCTTTTCGCAACGAGTTCTGGTTGGCCCCTGCCGACTGCTGAAAAATCACCAAGTGAGGCTTGAAGCTTGTGATTTAAATTGTGACAGTTTTATCATGGATGGGCCACTTATTGGTCAGCCTGAATTGGATCTCAAGGATGAAACCAAATACTTAGAGTCTAATGGAACCGTAACGTTTCTCTTGGAAGCGAAGGATCCGAAGAACAACAGGACCTATATTGATGGACAGCTTAATTTTTTTAGATACTCGTTCGATGATGAAAAGTTGACAGACTGTTTATAGATGTGCAACACTGATCTTTTTAACACTGATCCTTTACTGATTCTTTTAAGCTTAGTAACTCGCTGATTGCCATTCGAGTGTTTGACGCGTACACAATTGATGGCGAACCAACCTGGTTAGATCATATCTAGCCTATATTTAAACAGTACGCCAACATGTTTCCAGCGATGACTGAGAACTTTTTTTTTTGTCCCTAATTACCCATCCCGACTTCCTGATGGGGTACATCCTGACCTTATTGTGGAATATCTTCATGAAAATTAAGCAGCCAGAATTTGAACTCCAAGACAAGCTGGGGCATGTGTGGGAGTATGTTCGTCGCAGTAGATCCAATACGATGGATTGCCAGAGGACAGATGAAGGTGAAGGCTGCTCTAACGGTGACATCAATAACTATCAAGGCCATTGTCAGCATCCAACTGATAGGAACCATATTGCAAACTATGGTATACGAGGTGAGCCGTAAAATTAAATATTTACGAGGCCCCTAATTCTTATTTACTCTTTTATTTATTAACTTTTAGGTCATCAAACTGATGCTATGGAACGTTTGCGTCAAGCGGCAATGGCTACGAGTTCCAAGAGTGTAAACGGAAAGTTACCATTTGGGTGAATTGCAATTCTGGTGGTTATTTCTGACAAGGAGGAAATTCTCTATATGGTAACAAAATAAGTGTAAACCGTACGAAAACTGCAAGGTAGGGAAATTTTTCTTGGCCTCCTTAAGTTCTGCTTAAAAGTCCGATTGGAACATCTGAAGCAATATAAAAATACCAAACCAGCGATCAGTTCCGGCAATATCTTTCATTTGTCCTCAATAGGTTTCTCAGCCATGTTTTCAGAAACGATAACTGATTATTCAGAAAAGACTCAGAACATTCCTTTGTTCAAATATCACTACTCTTGACAATAACTCTAAACGCAGTGCAATAATGAAACTTTCTTTTTAACTTACTTCATATAGCACTAGGTTAAAGCAACCGATTTTATGTGATCGTTCCTATTACATTTTTGTACCACTGGCTATGTTTTGTCGTTAAAATAATCACAGTTTTCTTTCCTCTTTATACTTAGCTTCCTGGTGGAAATACTAAGCAATTCGTCTACCACTATAACACAGTTGGAAACTTTTACCATTACATATTGAGAGTCCTGGGAAACTTGACAAATTGTGGAAAAATAGTGATATATTTACCGGGAAC